GTCAAAAATTTTTTCCGAACATACCATAAGTGAAATATAAACTGTCAATTGTCTGAATCTCATCATTTTCGGACAAAAACCATTGTTCTAAATGTGATTTATCACGTATTTTTTTAAAACTAAAAGGGCACTTCTGCCCCCCTGCCCCCCCTAGCAAAAGGCAGGGGGGCAGCCGCCCCGCCTGCCCCCCCCCCCCGTTCCGGCGTCCCTGCTGATACTGGCTGCCGTCGGCTTCTGTATCTCTCACTCGTCCGATCTCACCTGTCTTACGCCAGTGAGATCTGGGCGGAGGGTGTTCAGAGACGAGTTACTAAATTTATACTTCAAATACGAGTTGTCTTATCTTGAGCGTCTTAAGCCCCGTTTACACTACGCTTAATTTTTGGTACGGCACGGATAAAATTGGTACCCGTACCACTTTTTTGGTTCTTGGACTACCTATATAGCTAAGCCCCGTTTACACTACGCTCAATTTTTGGTACCGTACCACTTTTTGATTCTTGGACTACCTAAATAGGTAGTCCAAGAACCAAAAAAGTGGTACGGGTACCAATTTTATCCGTGCCGTCCCAAAAATTGAGCGTAGTGTATTACTGGCGTGAAATAAAGGATCTCATCTTCTTTTTCAAATGCAAACAAGGCCTCTACGACCTAGATATTTTCTCTTTTGTCACCTTTTCTTCTAATCGCTCATCTCGTACCCGTTCAAGCAAGGATAACTTGCTTCAAGTCAATCCGTGCAAAACCTCTCTTTTTAAAACTCTTTTTTTAACCGAATTAATTGTCTTACTATGGAACAAGCTCTCTCCGATCATTCTTAACAGTTCGTCTGTTTCATCCTTTAAGCTCCAGCTCCATTCTCACTACTATTCTCAATTAGACTCTTCTTTCGATGTTAACAGAATGCGCACTTGGAAAACCTACTGCTCTAAATGCCGTTCTTTCAACTTAAAATGTTGCTCATAATCTAAAATATTAATTTTTCTACAGTTATGTAAATAGTGTTCTAGTCCTTGTCTTTAATGTATGTCTACTTATTGTTTTGTATCAGGTTGGTCTTCACAAGGGACTCATGTCCTGTTGACCATACCTTCAATCATTGTTATAATTTTGTATGATTGTAAAGTTAATAAATAAAAAACAAAGACTGACGAGAAAAAAACAACATTAAAACTGTTTTTGTCTGCCATCTTGACGCTTGAAACCCCTTTGGTCACGCCGAAAAAACCCGCAAAAGACAGACTGCGAAAAATAATACTAAGGTCTACTTTATAGTTTTTTCTCGTTTCTCTAAAATACTTCATAACTAAAACGAGGAAGATTGGCTACAGTCTATCCAGGAAACGGTTAAGAAAAATGAAACACTAGGTCCTCTGGCAGGAATCGAACCCGCGGTCCTGCGATTCTGGTGCAGCTCTCTAACCAACTGAGCTGCAGAGAATTGAACCTTGTTGGGAATTAAACCTTGTTGGGAATTGAACCATTTTACTTTAATTATATCACAGGCTCTGCGTGGGTGTTTATTTATTTTTTATTTTATTATATTTTGCATTAAAAATCCTACTTTAAATTATAAAGTATAACTTACTTAGTTCCTTTGTGTAATCTATGTTATTTGGGGGTGGTTTTAGTTTGATATAATGATAAAAACATCAATAAAGAATGCAATTTAATATACACTTTATATATTTGTAAAATACTGTAAAAAAATCTGAATGCCTAAATACGCACTGATTCAAAATATTGGTAGACTTACTTGTTTACTGTGTCATTTACTTCACTCTCGTCGATTTTCAGGCCATTTCGTTGAACCCAGCCTATATTGTATATCATCTAATATTATACCGAAACAAAGAACACAAAGGTAGGCAGCTGTAACGCCGGGCGAACGTACGTGGGCAAGACCTAAATTTCAACAACTAGCCGATAAAATATTGCCAAACGCTTCTAAAGCCGCGGCTATATACATATTTATGTTTATTCAATCTTTCCAACTTGTAAAATCCTTTCCCTCGCTTTTCCATGAAGAATCAAAACAACTTAATTAAAATTAAAGTACTTTCTCCGAACTCGTGAGTCGATCTGCTCTGGAACCAAACCGTTAAAAATTTGAATTGTTTGAACTTCGTAACCGCACCTCTCGTTAAAATATTTCTTCTCAACCCTCCTGTCCTGATCTATTAATTGCACGTGATTATATCAGAAGGGTTGAGGAGAAATATTTTAGCGTGAGGTGCGGTTACGAAGTTCGAAAAATTCAAATTTTTAATGGTTTGGTTCCAGAGCAGATCGACTCACGAGTTCGGAGAAGGTACTTTATTCAAATTCTTTGTATACAACAAAGGCCGGGTTCAACGAATGGCCTGAATATCGACGAGTGTGAAGTAAACGGAACAGTAAACAAGTAAGTCCGCCAATATTTTGAATCAGTGCGTATTTAGGCTTTTTTACCGTATTTTACAATATATAAAGTGTACATTAAATCGCATTCTTATAATGTCAAGTTTTTTATCATTATATCAAACTAAAACCACCCCCAATAACATAAAATACATGCACGAAAGAAACTAAGTATAAGTTATACTTTATAAGTTAAAGTAAATTTTTAATGTAAAATATAATAAAATAAAAAATAAACAAATACCCACAAAGAGGCTGGGCCACTGTGATTATGGCCCCGTTTACACTATACCGGATTACTTTTCATACCGGATTAATTTTTACTCCGAAGTAAAAAAAACAAGGGTGTTTACACTATGCTCCTTCGCTCTGTTGCCAGCTCATGTCTTTAACTGTCGCCATGGAAACAAGTAACCAATATACCAAAATTTATTAAAAATAAGAAGTAACACCCGTTTTCTTTGTAAAGTATAACTTTGTTTAAAAAGCTTGACCACCAGACGTTGCTTCGTTTCGCTCTAATCCAAAATTGACGAGTATTTCTTTAAATTTTGCTCTTTCGAAAGCGAAAAGTCAATGTTATTATCATTTTCTTTATTTGTCTTCGGCAGAAATGGTAAATGGTTGTAAGGCGAAACAAACAACAGCTATAAAGTATTGTAAAAGTGAGCAAATAAAGGCGACAATGTTAAAACATACACGCCAAAAAATGTTGTACCTGTTTACACTGCTCCGGCACATACCGGATTACTTCCGCGTTGCGTACCGGATTACTGTGGCGTAGTGTAAACAGCAGCCAAATCCGGCATGAAAATCGCGACGCTCCGATGCGATCCGGTATAGTGTAAACGGGGCTTTAGAATGAGTAAAACGGCAAAGATTGGTTGCTAAATGTTGTAAAATGAAGAAAATATGGCCTTGTGAAGTTCGCAAATTTTGTATATATTTGTATTACGCACGGTAAAATAACCACTTTCGGCTCAAAAATGGTTCTTTTCCCCGCGCATAATGCAAATACAGTATATACAACATTTGCGAACTTCACCGGGCTATATTTTCCACATTTTACAACAATTCGCAACCAAATTTTGCATTTTTACTCATTTTAAGATGCTCTTTCCAGCCGAATGGATTTCGTTCTTCTTGTCTTGATCAAAATTTCGTCTATAGCTGGGATCATCCATTGATTCTAACCCACGATTTCGAATAGAACATAGAATAAGAACTTCTAATGCAAGCATTGCATTTATCTTGTGTTTGTTCTATTTGTGCCAAAAGCGAGAGTATGGACTATGGAATACAACATTTTATTATGGAATTAACATTTAGAGTGAGAGAGTATGGACTATGTAATTAACATTTTTGAATCATTAAAATGCTTAATATTTATGTTTTATGTCCAGTCAGCCAAAATTTAACGCTGCTTATGTGCTGATTGCGCAGATCGTATAGTGATCTTTTCAAGCTTTTTGCGGTTTATAATTGGTCGTTAATTTGCTTCGATTGCTCATTAATTCATCATGCGTCACTGAGTCATAAGATCAAATGATCTATATGCATAATTGCATATCCGTATTTTTGTAGATTTTGAACAATTTTTATAAGGTGGGAGAAATCACTACACGCTATGCTGTTTGCGGTTTGTGTTTCCATTTAGTCAAAAACTACGGTAACCTTTTTTTTAAATTTAGCCCCCCCCCCCAAATAAAATATGTTCCGACACCCCTGCTTGGTACACATTTAGAAACGCGATGACTTTCCTATTTATATACATGCAACTTGCTCTCACAAGCGCATGTGGTACAGCACGGCATATATCAGTTTCTTCGAACATATATATATTCGAAAATAGAGCGATTTATTACTACTTAACAGGTTTTTGTTGCCACTCCAAGTTGCTGTCAACTTTGGAAAATGAAAAAAGCACACCTTACAGAAAGCCAAACAACGAACCATTTTACGTTGACAGCCGATCGTGCCATCCACCATCCATCTAAAACAAATGCCTATCTCGATAAACAAGCGTATCTCTTCCCTATCATCTGACCAAGAATGCTTCCATGAATGCAAACCTTTTTACGAAAGCGCACCTAAACAAAGCAATTACAATGTTTCTTTGGAATATTCAACCAGCGGCTTTTCCTTCTCCACCATCTACGAAAAGAAGGCGCCAAAGAAACATTATCTCGTTTAACCCCCCGTTTACTCTGGTTCCAGAGGCTCTTTGCGAGGCGAAAGAAACGAGAACGGAGAGCCTCTGCTCGCATCGATTGCAAATCCCACTTTCACATATATCAAATTTCTCAGGAGATAAACATATTAATATTAATCAGTTTGATACCATTTTCACAGGAGTATTAACATTCATGCTTGGTTGAGTTTAATAGAATATTTTATTTATTTATTTATTTATTTATTGTGCTTCGCTTGAATCGCTTCCAAACATAATTGCATTAAAGAAGCTGGGACACCACAACAGCTTAACACCAATTACAGTGGGCCCTTATAACTAGCTTACAGTAATGTTTATTTCCCAAACCGGTGTGACATATTTTTACAAATGGCCAATCTCATACGAGATTCAAATTCTGAACCTAATCCCAGTGGCGTAACTGGAGGGTGTCCAGAGGGTTTGGGTGTCCAGAGCCAGGAGGCCCCCACGCCTGGGAGCCCCTTGCAAAAATGACCATAAATTTTTTGCTACTACATTGGGCAAATTGGCCCGAGCTTCAGTTATAAAGGGTCAGAAAATTTGCAACGGGTGACCACCAAAAGCCGGAATTGGTGGAATTTGGACACACACACCCCGTTTGTGGTAGATATGGATAGGGAAATATTTTTGTGATGTTTTTTACTTGTCATAGTCCGGAAAATAGTTTTAACACCTTTTTTAATGAATATGGTTGGAAAAACGTTTTCTCCCCCCCCCCCCCTCCTCCCCCGGGAAAAAAATATGGCCCGTTACGCCTCTCGTTTCTTTCGCCTCGCAAAAAGCCTCTGGAACCAGGGTTCCCCCGCTTAGCAAATCCGTTAAAACCAACATCGCTCGGAATTTCCTGCAGCTTCTCCATAAACACTTCCCACCCACAAGTCTTTTGCACAAGATATTCAACCGAAACACATTTAAAGTTAGCACAAGCTGCATGCTTAATTAATGGAAGGACGTTATACCGTATACCAAGAGAGAACGATTTATTTATTTAACTTTGTTAAACAACATGCTACATATGACTGCATACACAAGACATATAAGTACAGATGGCAGATACACGCTACAGCTTTCGCCAACTACAGCGGCCCCATACAGATTAAGATACGAACAAGCACATTAAAACTTTAAAAATTATTATTAGTCCAGGACCTGTATAGGAGTTTATATGTGTTTCATTTAGCACAGGTAATCTCAACTGTTTTAGGGTAAAATTATCATGGCGGTCAACATGACAAATGTGCCAAAACCTGAATCTAGGACGAAAGTCCTGAAAATGACCCCGCCCTGAAACGGCAGTGCCGACATAGTTCTATAAACTTCCGAAAAGCAAAAGAGACAGACTTTCCGAAGTGCTTATAGCTTTACTCATATAGTAAATTCAAAGGTGGAGCTCATGCTGGTTTAGAAAGGGGCTTTTAGGGGTGGTTATTGAAAGAAAAATTTGTCTGAGTATAATAGTCCGCGTGTTGTGACCCGATATCGTTCACTTTCATGATGCATGTCTTAGATCTGAAATATTTTTACGGGAACTAACACTTTCGAACACGCTGAGTTCAAATCCGAAAAGTTCCCACTCCGTAGACCCGCAGTTTTTTCGCAAAATGCTATTTTATCTTCACTAATTTCACAACAAATTTTTTCATTGTTCAACGATACGGATCGACGACGATACACGATTATGTCACTCGAAAGACCAGTTTCTATTAACCATTATTCCTTTTAACAAAAGATCGGTTTTGCTCGAATCATTTTGATTTATGCAATCTTATGCGTGCATGTTGGACGTAAACAACATATCTTGTCTACAACTTTGAGAAGGTACAGATAAC